TTATAATGTCAGCGTTTATTTTCAGGTAGCCCGAGCTCATCAAGTTGTCCAGGATGGCTACGAATTTTTTGGAGGCCGAAAATTGGTGGTAATCGAGTGGACCTGTATTTTATATCAATTTATAAAATTTTTAATAACTTCGTTTAATTCCGAATAGTATTGATTACGTTTATTCTCGTCGAATGGCCTAAGGTACTACTATGGCATTCGATTATTTGTTTCAAATTTTGCTAAAATCAAAATTTAATGGCACTACTATCCTTGTGGGCAAAAAACTACAAGGTTGAATTTTGAAATAAAATCTACGAAAAATTCCAGTTTTGTACGCATAATGCATAATAGAGGATCGAAGTGAAAAGGTTACTCAGCCGTTTTACAAAATTAAGTCCATAATAAGAAGAAAGACAATCTTCCAAATTTAGGCTTCTCAGAAGTTCATAAAAATATGATGAGACCTCTCCATTAGACCACTTTTTTATAGAGGTTGCCCAAACAATACTAATCTGATAAGGATATATTATTTTTCGAGCCATGGTTTAAGTGCTATAGGCGCCTGCTTCGTCCTACCTGGACTCAATCATCATTGATAGCAGCCTCTTCGGTTCAGCCGATCCCGTGAAGCTATACTCCTCTATGAAGGAATCAACCCGGAGCAATAGATCTCAACAAGTCAGATGAAAAAAGCGGTTGAATGGGGAGGTATGATTCATCTTTAAAACAACAAGCTCGACTACCGGCCACTACAGTGTCAGGTAATTCCATCATCTAACTTGCGGTGATCTATCTCAACGTTGATTCCTTCATAGAGGAGCATAGCCTCAAAGGATAGGCCGAACCGGGGACGGTGCTACTGAAAAGTCCCGGTAGGACGAAACAGGCGCCTGTATAGCACTTGAAACGTGGCCCAAAACATATTGCATCCTTATCAGAAAATATAATGAGCCAATAGCAATCACATCAGGCTTGTAAATTATCGTCTAACCTGCATTGATTGTTTTCATGACTACGACACTCCGCTAGCACTAAAGTTTTTTTATTCCGCATAGAATCTTAATCTCTAAGATAGCATTTAGCTAAAAATTTACAAGTAATAGAATAAAACCCTTGATTTCTGAGTGTATAACTACAGAATATAGTAAATATCGAGAAAGAATGACTGAAGCGCTATAGATGATACCCTACGAAGAAAGATACATAAAGTATTTTTGATGTGACACAGACACGACGTTAGCCAAAATAGTGGAAAATATGGCGTACGCATATGATACAATTAGTGCTAATGTTGTGACGGTGTTTAAGATAAGTAAATAAATCAAGGAGTACACAAAACGTTACAGCTGTGAAATTCTTGTAAGACATTTTTTTTGTTATGCGATCGAGTTTTTCAGACCATCTTCTCTGCTCCACATTACTGTGGCCAGTTTGACAACGCTGCCGCAATCATGGTTGTTGACGAAAATCTTCAAGTTGGTTATTAGATTAAATAGCACCAATGTTGGCCAGAAATATATTTTCTTGTTTTTTTTAGTGCTCTTTTGAAATACTTCGCCCTTGTGTTGGGAAACTTCAACCTAAAATTGTGCCCACTTCTATGGGATCTCCTGGAGCTCCACCGTGTGCGTAATGCATGAATGTTGAATAAATTGATTTTGCTTCCTGTCTAGCTTCATTTACTGAATACCGTCACTCTTGTATCACACTAATAATTATGCCTATGCCACTTTCTGCCAAGGACAATAACTCAAAGATTGACATCCCATCAAATATAAGGTTTGTGTATTCTTGACGGCAAAACATCGGCGGCCAGATAGTCAGTGGGAGCTGCACGTTTCTGAACAAGTTTATGGAATACCACGAAAACGAAATCAAACCTTGAACCGAAGAAAAGATTCGTAGGAAGCCAGTGTATGTAGATCTCTGTAGTGCCCTAGATCAGCTTATATCACCCACGCACACTCAGTCTCGAGCATGCATGAGGGTATTCTGTGTCATACTACTTCTCTTAAGCTTGGATATCTAAGATCAAACGTCATGAACTGCTACAGATTGAAAGATCTTAAAGGCAATTTTCAACAACGATTACCTTTGTCTAAAACGAGAAATTTCCATTCTTCTATTCAAGCACCAATGGATATTGCGCCCACTGAGAGCTTGACGGAACAGCCACTAGACTTACAAAGAAATTTAAGAAATTTAACGAGACTATTACGACTACCTACTGCTTCTACACCACATCAGAGAAGATGATATTGAACTGACATGGGTCAGTTAAGCAAACTGCTGGTCTTTTAATGACCTTTGTTCAATAATTGGAAATTTTGAGGTCCCAAAAAGACATAGCGAAAGAGCTGAAGATATGAAACAAATGTGAATCCTTTCCCCTAAAAAATCTTGGTTAAAAGCATCGAAGATAGAGGTTAAAGAAACTAATGATGAAGTTAGCAAAGAGTGGTTTAACTATATAATCCTGACAGCTAGTGGATAATCATAATAATTAATCTAGTGTGGGGTAAAAAATTTTCGTTACCAAGCTTACAGGTGGCAGATTAGGTGGATTATATGAAGGCAACATCAAGAGTCTACTGTAGTCGAGGCGAACAGATGTTAGCTATCGAAGAAATTGATTGCCAACAAACATCTGCTGATGAGATGAAAATATTTTCAATCTCTTCGTTATAACGGAAATTGTCCTGTAAAAAAGCTAAGATTAATGGTCTCTTCAATTTAGCTCCTACACATTTCCTCATCCAGCACAGAAATACGGCCTTGAGCTATCCAAACTGTGTTTGAGAGATGGTTACACTTGTAGAATCTATGGCTCTCTTCCGGTGGTAGCAGAAAATTGTAAGCCGATCCCTTTCGTTTGACAAGGACTTTTCATAAAAATGTTAGTGATTCGTGAGCTTAAGTCTTAGGCTGGCGCGGTACTTACCCGCTTTTCTAAGAAGAATTCTATAACGCTGTAAAAATCAAATTAGAATTATGTTTCACATCAGCCGCGCAATCCAACTAGTACTTCTCTGTAAACAATAACAGCACAGGAACGTGTGGAGAAAATCTTTTAGTGCCAGAGCCAAATCTTTTATCTGAAGTTTTTTTGGACAAGAGAAACGAATTCTAGTTAAATAACAAAATTCGCACTCCGAACGTGATCCATCTTGGTGCCATCGATCGGTGATCGCGACAACCTCTGCCCTCACCCCGCAGCCCGTGAAATGACCATAAAACACACGCCCGCGTATGTGAATCAATCTTATTTCTCCTGCTGTACTGCGGAGAAACAGCGTTAGAATCGCTCTAAATTATCGAATGATTACTAACAGCCTAGAGTAAAAGCTCTGTACTGCGAAAAATATGCGGCTGTAAAACTCAAATGTTTCCCATTCCCTGGAACGTTATAAATGGGTCTTTTTTCAAAAAAGTTAATTAATGCAGTAGCCAGAGATTCAAGCATTCGAATGACCATTAATATCATTATGAAAAGTTTTTTACCAGAGAAACGCATTGGCTTACAATTCTGTTAACTGAAAAGTGCCGATCCTATTATATATTGATGGTAGTATGCTGAAATACTCATAGATTCTGTAGATGGAGATGTGTCTTATCACCAGTGGTGGGTTGTACCTATAATTATATGTTTACTAAGAACGATAACACGGATATTATTATAATATTCATACTTTATGGCAAGGCTCTGCTCACAGCCTATCAATTCCGCAACAAAACGAAATCCACAATCAGAAGTCCTTTCCAGACACAACCCCAAGGAAGATTTATAATAAGCAAATGCGGAATGACCGCAATGCATTTCTGTACATCTGCCATATTAGAACGGAAATGCTTCACGCCAGTGGCCTGTCATTCCATTGTGGAAACTTATAGTGATGAAGCGTGAATATGCGGACCTTACGAGAGATGGTGTAAAGTAGTGCCGAGAGACTTCTAATGAAAATGCGCTACATTCCATGTTATTCAAATAATGCTCTGGAGCACATGATACTCACATAATATTAAAAGTGTGCTTCATGGGCCAGTCCGTATTGCTAAGAAAAGTTCCAATCGTCCTCGTAAAGAGGGAATAATGAATGGGTTTCCGAGTACAAGGTGCATCACATTATCGAAGCATAATGAATAGGTTCCGAGTACAAGGTGCATCATATTATCGAAGCAAAGACTTTTAGATTTTTTTCTAACAAAACACTAACCAAGAGGCTTTCCAGCTTTAGTGTTGCATACGTTTATTTTTACCTGAGCTTTCGAGCAGAATAAAATTAACCGCCCATTTACTCTTTTAACTAAGATTTTGTGTCGCAGAAAGAGTGATGACCGGACAGAAGAGTTGAGTGCGTTTACTTAGCACGTGCCCCAGAAAAGGTGGAACACGAGTTCGATTCCCGTCTGACGTCTGCAGTTTTGCATATCACTCAAAGTTATTGAATAATACATAATAGTCGCCAGTGAGCAGTACGTGCAGTTATTTTAGAAAGAGTTACTGTTCATAATGTTTTGATAGTGTTGATGTAATATGTACATTTTTGCCATGAGGTATATACTTGAATCAACGCATTGACTCGTGAGCTCAAAGTGGAAATTTCGATCCAATAAGAGAATCGATAGTTCTATATGAAAATTGTAGTGTAACATATACTATTTATTCATACGTGCAGTTCAATCATAGTGAGGCAATTGAAATTAGCATTAATTTGATATACAATAGTCATTTTTCAGCAACAGATTACTAATTCATGAGATCGCCATTCTAGTGCCCGATTTACAAATTAAGGAGAAGCCTCGAAAATAGGTTAAAGAGTTGAAAAATAGTCACAAAAGGCCATAGACTATACCTACGTACCCTATAGTGCATGTGCGGTGCGATATTGGCCGATGTTATGAAGGCTTGGTAAATCTTATTTGTACTCCGAAATTAGCATTTCTACTGCTTTTTTCGCAGTGTTGTGATTACATATATTCTTAAGGGAATTAAGTGATGGGCAAAAACACGGTCTCAGGCGGGAATCGAACACGCGTTTCGTCCTATCCAAGAGCGCGTGCTCTGCCACTGCACCATCGAGCCACAATTGCTTGACCACTCATTCTTCAACATCTCTATGTTAGCTATCAGCCACCAACATTTAACAGGTTTGGTAGTGTATGCGCTTTCACTCTATAAACTCAGTTGAGCTGACAGGCACTTTAGATCTAATACTCCAAAATTCTTGTGTTTCTACTGCTTTTCGCAGTATTGTAATGTTACATATAATCCTAAGAAAATTGAGCGCTGGGCAGAAACGCGGCTTCAGGCGGGAATCGAACCCGTGTGTTTGTCCACCACTCAATTCTCTTAGAAATCTTATTTGTGAGTAATTTTTCAACTCTAGGGTTCAAAATAACTCTTATGCACGTTTGAAGCATCAATGGAAACCCGTGGCAAAACTATTGTCAACAAAATCTTTGAGAAAAAGGTCTAAAACACTGGTAAACGCACACTCTGTAAACACCGCCAAAAGCAATTCTAAAAAAGGTCCCTTAGTGTATTTTTGGGTTACTAAATCCACCTGAAGTTGTTATCAATTGATAAATAAGGTTCTTTCAACTAACGTTACGTCTCCCTTGTCTTCTTCAAAAGGCCATTGGCCGATGACCCATGGCAAGGTGAAGTGGACTTTTGCATCGGAATAACTTCAATACAATGAAGTACCGTACTGATGAGCTGACATTCTACGTCAGTTCTCCCTTCCACAAATCGATTCTCGATTTACGAAACTATGGACATCCATTATGGCCCACATCATGCTAGATGTGTATTCAGATTAAGAATAGATTCACCATAGCTGGCAACCAGTAGAGCATTATTGAACAACTGATCTTGACAAGGAACTCGAATCGAAGAGAAAGGAATAGCGCGGGCCGCTATCAAGAGCCAAACGAACTGGATATCACCAGCAGAACAAGTTTTTTCACCTGCACCTCCCATAAGCACATACTGTCAAGAAATTGTTGCTTAATATCTTGAAGAAATCTGAAAAAAGCACTTTTGTAAATCATTTTCCATTAGACTTCTTCAAGTAAATTCAAAGACTGTCAAGATAATTCCAAAAACTGCCACGCAACGTGAATGTAGGATAAAACATGGAGTGCAATAGGATATATTACCACTATGAAGATGAACTAAAACTTCGACGATAAGTAGCAAACCGTCTCACATCCCATAAAGTAGCATCCAGTCACACAAAAAAGTGATATATTAGTCTCAGTATGACTGGCACATCGTGTTTGCTTTTAGCAAAAGAGTTGCGCGAGTGCCGTGATTCATTTGGGAAAGGTGAAGAGTGTACTCACAGCGAGGCTATCAAAATCAAATAGTCATTACGTTGTTTCGATACTCAGGTACGATTACACGAAACATTCAGGCTGTTCAGCATTTTCACTCTGAGTAGGAGTATAGAGTAAGCGTGCGTCACTGAAGGTCTATTTTTTTTAATGATTTCCTACACCACAAAGGCATCATGGATAAAGAACTTTCTATCAAAATGGGACACTTTTTACCATTGAACATGTAGATGTTTTACAAGTATTACAGTGATCGTCGTGTACAAATAGCAAAATCTCCATTTAAGGTATATAGCGAGAAATTAAAGTAAAAGAGAAGTAAATAAAGGAAAAAGAAAGTAAGATAGAAATGATGTGGGTATGTGGATTCGTTTGATTTTGTATATGTCTATGTATAGTACTGTTTTGCTGTAAAAAAATTCAATAAGGCAGCTTTTAATATTACCATTGCAATGATTCATTCCTCTCCAGTCATTAATAGAAGCGTTACTCGACATTCATTGAGAAAAATGTTGATTTGGCAAGGTCATAAAAGTTCGAGAAAATCATTTTAACTTTATCAACAAGCAAACATAATTAAGATGGACACATATCAAGAAGGAAGACAGGTAAACGAAAACACTGAAACGAATCTCAAGAGTCAAAAGACTTTTCACAAAAAGCGAAAAGGATAACCGACGGAATCTTTCAATCCTTTAGGAGTAAAAATTGGATTAGTCATTTGAGTGTGAAGGAAAAGAGAATCTACCAATAGTTTTGACGTGTTCAACTTTCAATTTTCTTCTGTTCTTGCTCTTGCTGCTGCACCTGCTGTTGTGGCGGTTTGTTGTTGTTGTTGTTGTTGTTGATGTTGTTGTTGTTGGTCAGCGTGGTAAATATACGGATCTAAAAAATAAGTATAAAAGAGAGTAGACGAAAAGAATTAGAAAAAATATCTCAGCATATAATGCTATATCATATATCTCAATGAATGAAAAAACTTTCTACAAAGGTTTTACAGAAAGTGTCTCATAGATTAATTCAATTATAGATATAGAGCAAATCAAATAGAAAAATAGAGTCAGCACACAATCATTATCACCGTATTTACGTCTTGCATTTCAAAGTATGTCCTTTTAGATAGTACAAACTCACCGGGAGAAGAAATGTAATATGGTGCTGATGTGACAGTGTAATACGGTTTAGGTGGCTCTGGAGGAATGGATTTGGTTGCTCTGGATGAGATGGCTTTGCTGGCTCGGAATAATAGGGTTTTGGTGGTTCTGGATAGTAAGGTTTTGGTGGTTCAGGATAGTAGGGTTTTGGTGTTTCCGGATAGTAAGGTTTCGGCGGTTCGCGTAATAGGGCTTTGGCGGTTCCGGATAATATGGCTTAGGTGGTGCAGCATAATTCGGTTCTGATGTTACGTGACCGTTGCATGACGTCGGTTGTGTAGAGCTGAAAGCAAGGACGAAAACATTAAAACACAGGGCTGTCTGAACAGCAGTGAAGAAGAACTGAAATCAAAATTCTGGTAGAAATAAACTTGTAAGTATATTCGCGTACCATCCACATCCTCCAATGTTTCCGAAGAGGAACGCTTGGGCTGGTACGAGAAGGAAAGCGGCAGTAACTACCAGAATCTTCATAACGCTTGCCTATTAATGTCAACTTTTATATACTTACACAATGCAATTGAGCTCTTCGAAAAGATTCAAACAGTAAAGCTTAATTGGGTCTAAAGTTGAATAATATTGATTATCCTCCTAAAATGTCCAATAATGTGCAGATGTGGATCTTACAATATCTGATCAAATTGCAAAATAGTGCTATATATGACAAGAAGACGTCAAAAGTACCGAAAGTAATGCACCATTACTGGATTTTTCTAATAAAAATAAAACTTACGTGTATAGTGGTTGAGGTGTTCAAGCGGAGTACTCTATGAATACAACGCCGCTTTTTATATCGCCTTTGAGTAATTCAGTTCACATAAAACTTATACATATCGAGTTTTGAGATCGCTTTCAGTGGAGAAGAGAAGTCGCGACTCCCTTGCAGTCGCGCTCGGTGTCGACACTCAGCTGAACATGAAGGTGCGCCATGCCATCTTAATTCCACTACTGAAAAAGCGGTACCTCGACCAATATTATGAAATAATGGCTTAAAACTTCAATACTTTGAGGCGATCTAATCACACAATTCTCTTCTTGCTGTAACTTCTTCTTCAGTCTCATACTCACCTCTTTCTATCAGTATTGGCAGATTATCTCAGATTCTTATCAATCTTCTTTTCGATTTTTGGCGATAATTTTTCTGACAGTATGACCATATGCCATTTGAGGTACAGGCGAAGAAAACTTGTTCTGCTTGATGAGGTATCGCTCGTCGCCACTTCTTAACAGTTTTCTCTGTTGCTGTCTTCTTTCACATTAATGGCTTTGGAAAACTCTCTTCTTTTTTCTTAATAGTGCCAATGTTTTTTCTGCTATTGGTATAATGCTTAGCAGAAGATAACTTTTTGCTTTACAATCCCAATGACAGACTGCTAGCGCAAATGATGAGCTCACATGACAGTGTTTTGCTTTTATAATGATGGTGACACATCAAGTCATTACCTACTGTATATTAGCAATGATTTTTCTGACTATTCACATTGATTAGATTGGTGCGCAAATGAGCCTGGGCTTAAGCTTGGGCTCAAGCCTAAGCAGTTCAGGCCTATATCCGAAAACCATATGAAGTGTTGAGGAAATCTCGAGGTAGCAGAGTCATACATTATAACTAGAGTTTTTCAAAGTGGAGATAAAACTTCAAATTTGATAACAAAAGTCCACACCACATGTGAATAGTGCTGCGCGACTAGCAGACAAGGAAATGCCCGCTGAGCGCTAAACTCAATCTTCTTTTGGCTGCTATAACGCACAAAATATTCTTCTCGAAATCCAGGTTTATTGTTGATGCTGCCGAGATTTTTGCTATTGAACGAAACTGAAGTCTTTAAAGAAAAGCTTAGAGGAAAAATTTTGTCGAGTGAAAAACGCCTGAGTGTGAAACATGACTTCATTTTTAGTTCTACAGTGCACTGAAAAAAATTTTCAAAAAACTAAGAGCAAATTTGAAATTCTGGTGATTTGAGCTTCCTGACGACTATTGAAACTTATTGAATAGGCAAGAAACGCGTCTTTCTCAAATGGCTGATACAAAGTGAGGATATCGGAAATAATTCGGCAGTTTTCTTCATGTACAAATACCCTTACGCCGGAAATTCGAGTTAAGTTCAGCACTACACAGACATTTGTATACCAGTTTTGTGTAGGCCTATCATCACGTTGTGACACTGACCATTAAAAGAATAAGGAATAAAGCTCTCGGCGTTGATCAATCCCTGAGGGATGCGCCATGCATTCGACTTCAATTTTTAACTTCGTTTGAGGTGATTGAATGCCTATCTGGCCTTTACATTGACTCGCGAGAGGCCTCCCGCTGAACCGAGTCAGTGCTGCTTATCCTCCCAGACAAGTCTGAAACCTGTCTGGTACCAATTTACCGACCCCGGAGGGATGGATGGCTTGGTGAGCCATGAGCGCGAGATCAAACCATTGACCTCGTGTGCGACGCAGGGCACCTCTAACCACTGCGCCACATGCGCTCAACCGTTAGTTTCTGGTAAATAGAATCCTGGTCACGAAAATGTTATTCCGCTTTGATTCAACCATATTTCAGCCAATCTCAATCCGTGTTTTGCACAGTGCACTGGCACTATGAAAACAGAGCCAGAGTCGTTCTCTAGAAACACTAGTGTGCCTCGTATCTTGAGCTACACCAACGCGTAACAAGAATGAGCGGTTGTGAACACTCGAGAATTAGAATAGCCTCGAAATTTTGATGGTGTCGAAACGTTAGCCATAATAGAAGCTATCAGTTCATGTAGAGTTTAAGAAAAGGCCAAAATGTCAAATTATAATAACGATTAAGCATAGTTCTATATTGCAACTGGGAAGAGAAAACCATTCACCATACGACAACTAAATAAGAATAGCCGATTGCTCAATACGTGCCGGTTCAAAGCTGATTGGACTGATTAAAAAAGCAAATCTGAACAATGACGCCGTAGCTAGGTGCAAAACAGAGAGAGAAAGAGAGAAAGAGAGGGAAAGTGAGACAACTTTTTCACAAACAACCAATCGGAATGTGGGTAGCTCTTCTGGAGAGTATCATCAAAGAACGATTTGTTTTAAAACTTATACATGCGAGGCGGCGGAACGTGTTCATTAAAACCAGCACAAATGTCGCGGAGGAGTTCCTTTAGGATACACAAGTCCGAGTTTTTGACTTGCTGTTGCTTCAGTGATTTCAAATCAGCACGGAAGGCAAAAGTCGTACAACGACAATGGGTTCTTTGGTCTCTGCAATCTTCTTAAATAAGGATACACTCAGCTACATTATTTACATGAAGAAAATTCACGAAAAGAATACTCATAAATAACTGCGAGCAGCACATCAAAGAAAGTAGTAATGAGTGAGGTATAAAAAGCTCATTGGTTCAAACCTGTTCGAGAAATCTTGGTTTCGACCGTTTCAGCACAATTTGGTAAGTCAAATTTGAATAATAGCCAACAAAATTTGTAGTAGTAAGAAAAAGTTCTCATAGTCACAAGAAGCTTTTGATACTATATCGGAGATATGCTAATCACAATGAATGACTGTTGGATCACGAAATCAATCCAGTGTTCTAGAATCTTGATAGAGCAATAAAAAATGCACTTATCAAAAAAGTTAATAGGTTAAAGACAATAAGTTAATAAGTAAAAAATAAGCTAAAAATAAAAAAATGTTTTGAGGATAGACCAATACATGGACATTTGTGATATAAACCAATCAGAACGAGAATATGAAATCTGATGCGACTATCGCTTTTGAGAAAAGCGTAAAAGTCGCCATGTGAAAAGACTATTTTGGTGATGTAGGTGTAAAACAAGACACACTCTCCATGGCGCGTAGTGGAATGCTCGTTATCACCTTTTGTTTATACATGCCTATGTCGGTATATATATATATATATATATATATGTATATATATACATATACATACATATACATACATATATATGCTTGTATATAATAATGTAATAATGTAATATTAATGTATATAATATAATAATATATATAATAATGTATATTTACATATATATGCTTGGATACCGAAACCGTTCCGTCACAAGTTGTGCAGACACCAACACATTGTGCATTCGTTTGTGATCGTCGAATATGGTGGGTGGCTTGATTCGAGCAAAGCGGCCGGTGCGGACCTCATACCGCGAAATGTTAAGCACCGTACCTGCGAAAACGGGGGCATTGTGATGGTATTCATTCCACAGTTTTTTTCGTCCAACTGTCGTCTTTTCTTCTTTATGTGTGTAACTGGCCCGTCTGTGTTTAGGTGTAGATGTATATTCTTCCGGATCACAAAGTAAGATATATTGAGGATCTGAGCCGCGCAAGCCTGCTAAAAGCTGCGAGTTCCAAAAAAAGTTATCCGCAGTATCTTAGAATTGGTTAAGGTAACAACCCACATCTCTGTTGCATAGCAGAGCTTTGGAAGGACTTTTACTTCAAGAAGTTCAGCACGCACGTTAGGATCGTTGTTCGGTTGATGGTTTCCTTATGAGGCCTAAATGCAACTGACATTGCTCTCCTTCTTCAATCTAATTCCTCCTTCATTTGAATCCTCATGTTCAACGATTACGCAAGGTACACGTAAGAGGTGATTTACGTTCATTATGAGTATGTTAGCTGACAAAGTGCTTCGTAGCTGATCTATTTCAGTTTCTGCAACGGACATACGATACGTAGACTTAAGCGTTAACGGACGAGGGACTCAGTTCAAAAATAGAAGAGCAAATTTTCTGCGAAATTTTGATGGATTTTGAGTGTGGGCGCCGCAGTATTAATTGAATGGCTGCGAAGAGATTCATGATGATAAACTATTTGATTCTTCGTGCTGAATATGAAAACGTCACTGAGAATACTATAAAGACTTGTGAGCGTTTCAAGAGCTTTATCTAATTCATTTAATCGTACTTCAGAATGACATTGAGAAATTGGTCCTGCCTCTATCAAAAAAGCTTTGGGCAAGCGATGTGACACTTGTTTACCGCGGTTTTCCGCCTTGACATTGCTACCAAATAGCAAGTTGTTGATAAATTAAGGATGCTAGGATTTGATTCAAGCCCTCAAGAAGTTTTCAGGATTTGTAGTGATAATAATCGACCTTGATTGGTTTCTAACAGGTGTTCAGAACGCTAGCGACAATTGCAAAGCTCACATCTCTACCACACATAGTCCCTTCCGGGGACGATCTCCGTTACTTACTGCACATACGTGTATGTTTACCTCTTGCTTTAGACAATGCTTCTCCAATAACCTTTCAGTAGTAATCTGATAGTTCAAGATTTCATAGCTCCCTATGTTTCTCACTTGAATTGAATACTCATTGTGGCATTGTTCTGTTATGGCGGCGCCACTTGACTTCTGTAGAAACTTTTTTTTTTGCTTGCAAAACGTTTCTGTAGCCATTGATAGCTCAAACCAAGTGAATTTCAATGGCATGTTTAATTTCTCAAATAGCTTATTTTTGGCGCCGTATCAGTCAGAATAAGATTTTGATTCTCAATCGAACATTTCTCACTGGATAAAGCTTTTGTTGTAGTGAACATTCAATCGTTAGGTAGAGAAAATCGTTCCAATTATAATGATATCTTTGGCTTTCGGAAAGAATTCTTCGAGTATTGTAACGACAGAAAGAATATTGGGTTTCACACTCAGTGAGCACTTCTAGTGGGCTAGGATGTGTGCACAGTAGTTCTTTCTGAAGAGCAAACACATTTTTTTCAATCACAAAGATTTGCTCTATCTAGTGATTAAAAGTTCGTTATAAAAAACTTTTATCAGGAAAGAAATCTTCAAATGTGAAAGAAATTCTCATTTTGACTAGTACGGGCGTTAAAAACAAGCATGAGAATCAAAATATACCTTCAGAATTCACATGCTTTGAGCTATCAGATATGTATAATTATCGATCATATTTGTCATAACAACAAACAATGAGCTTTTACCGAAGGCCTCATGTGGCGCCGCCATAATAGAACAGTGCCCTCATAGTAAAACTAGGACTCTCGCGTACTTTGTTGTCACAAAAATGTGCTAGCTTGAAGATAGCTTTTCAGAAGTATTTCTAGTACAAAAAAAGTACTTATGCTTTCCAAAAGCCTCTTTTTCAAAGTAAAGTAGCATCCTTAGAAAGTTCAGCACTTTAAAAAAAGTTTAAGCTTGAAATCAAAGCATATGTGACGCTATGCCTGACTCAGGTCGGAAGGATTAGCTCGAGGTATGGTTAAAGCTTACGCGTGATTCTGAGGCACTATTTCTTTGCTGTTAATTTTTGGTATCCGAAAGGCTTCTAATAATTAACGTTTGGACGTTTTTGAGTTCTGACGAGAACCGTGAATTTGACATCGAACTTTGCTTCTGCATGTTTTTGTTCCCTAAGTGTTCCAAAAGGAGTTTTTTTCGTCGGAAATTGGTAGTCCCGCTAGGTGTTCTTTCACACGGATGCAGACAGGTCTGCCCGTTTCGCTAATGTATTCATCTCCCTTTAACTCGCAAGAGATTAGATATTGTACTACATCACTACTACTAGATGAACACTACTGTTACCACATCGGAACAGCTTATTGAGATAAAACTACTGATTTATTCTAACTACACCGAGGTTAGTTGACAGCCGGTCTTAGAAACAACTTTCTTGTACCATCACTAGCTATACCACTCAGTTCTCTTAGGAATATATGAATGATCATAATCATTGCGAAAAATACGGTAAAAGTACTAGAAATTTTGAATATTAGTTATCACAATGGCTGTCATCACAACTGGGTTTATAAAGCGAAATCGCATGTCCGACCAAACCTCTCAAAGGCTTGTGGCTTATAGCTAGCGTAGAGATGTTGAAGAATGAGTAATAATGAAAATGCGCCTCGGTGGTGTAGCGGTAGAGCACACGTCCCTGGCATGGCTGAAACGCGGGTTCGATCCCGTTTGAGGCCATGTATTTGCTCACCACTCAATTCTCTTAGGAATATAACATTTCTTGTAGCAAATGTGCAATCACTATATCTTGTGAATTTCATACAGCAGTCAATCTAATTGAACACACTGTCGAGGTGTTAGACTTCAAGTGTTTGAGAAGAATTGATATACTCACCTGAACTGTGGGTAAAACTTATAATGAACAATAATGGCGGAGAAGAACCTTCACTGCCCCTCAGTCTTCCTAAGAAGACGACTGTCTTTTCTGGCATATAATTGTTTACATCTCAAACTGCGCAGAAGCAAGTTTACTCATGCTGGCACTAGAAAGGTGCATCCATTATGAATATTGTGACGAAGAAGGAGATCTTTGATGGTCAGCCACAACGACATGTAGCTGGCCTCATTAAAGTCATTTGGAGAGTTGAAAACGTCCTGGGGTGCGGTATACCACAATGAGGGTTAGTAAGAAGATAATAAGTAAGACAAGTAAACTATGTGCCATGCTCAGTGAAAAGCCTTTTTATGAGAAATAGTTCTCATGGCACAGAAAAGTTGATAATAAAATATAATTGACTTTATGTTCGACTGTGTTTAAGACCTTGTTTGGAACTATTTATAATCTAATAACATATTTCAAGCCTTTCATGAGATCTGTTATGGCACCTACATAGTGGTAGACGTGTGTTTCGGCATTTCTGCATCATCAGTATCAAGGCGCTTTTCGTGTGGGCCAATCGCTTGTAAGAGAATACACCATTCACACATAAAGGAATCGATAACGAAGATGTTACACTGCAAGTGAATGAAAAGATCACTTCACTGCAGAGATAACAAATAACTACATGTTGAGTAAACAGACCAGCCAGCGTGTAGTGACTAACAGTCGATTGCTCATGGGTGATAAATTGAATGATACCTTCGAATATTAGTGAATTCACCATCCATGAACAATCGATTGCTAGTAACTTCAATATTGAGTAGTCTTGTCACACGTCTAATACTATATAAATACCATAACAGACCTCATGAAAGGCTCAAATATGTTATTAGATTATAATTTGACAGATTATTCATTCTCATGCCGACTATCGATTGACCTCGCCATAGTAAGAACAGATAAATACTGTTCTCTGTTAAGCGATTCCGAGGTGTCTTGCCTGAAGAGGAGTGCTTCGTAATAGCGCGTGACTCTCACCATTCCTCAAGCTAATCTTCCCTGCCTAAGCCAGGCCCAGTCTCACTTACGCCCTGACTCTAAGTGGTAGCTCTTCAATGAATAATTGAAAGACCTAAAACATCTAAGCGGTGAGTGTCTCTGAAATGAAATTTCACTATGCGACCTGAAATTCGCTTCTTACGTTTTTTGCTGAGGTTGTGAAGGCTTTTGACTAAATGATTTGCGAATCAAATTGGCCTTTTTGAGCTCTGAAGGTGGCGAACCTCAGCGAAACGTAAGCCACCACGACTATTAAACTATTTATGCCTTATTACTTCATCGTATTGTTGTATTGCATCACTAATATTCATTAAATACTACATTTAACACCTAGAACTGCTCAACAGTACAGAGTAGTCATTATTTTCTACTACTCAAGAACTTTGTTATCCTTTGGATATTGTGTAAACTAAATGAGTTTCTAAACTGATAGATTCATATGGTAATATTTTTTGTGCATCTTATTACAACTGAGAGATTGATGCTAACTATATAATTACGTGTAAACATACTCTTTTCTCCACACAAAAAACATATGTCAAACAAAGACATGGGGCCTATGAACACGTGTAGCACCGAAGTATTGAGCGAAACTTTACAATTTTTTAAAACTCAAAAAACCTAACGTAAATGATAGAAGTTGTGTATCACTTGTGAATCGCGCTCAGCTATGGTCGTGATCACGGAAATAATTATGGGTCGTTCCATTTTTTTCATACTAATGTTTTATTCGATTTTTTAGTACTCAAAACGAACTATTGGGTAAAGGCTGTGGTATGTTAGACGACGTTCTGACAGACACTTGGATACGGCCGTAGTGCGACTACTTGCCAACTAAATGAAGTGGGCTACTACAAAGTGATATAACGATGGACACCACATCCACTGACGGACCATGTACAGCAATGCAGACGTGACTATCTGCGAGAGTCTCCTGCTGTGAGCACACAGGCAGGACTTTTCCAAGTCGACTATCGCTGGAGACGACTCTCGGACTTACTACGCGACCAACATGCGTCAAGTCTAATGGCTGCTACGCAGCAAAGGCCCACCAGCTCAACAAACGCCTAAGTTTCATGTTCGGAAGATTATGCTCATGATTTCCTCAGATTAGCAAGGCATTCTCTTTTGAAGACTGCTGGACAACAAGTGGACCAAATGCTGACGTCTACGAGGAGAAATTACTGAAGTTTTCCGCAACAGTAAAGAGGTGTCCGAACAGATTCAGTATTGCCCGGTGCAAGATAACGATTGACCTGACACTGTAGAGCCGATTCTACACGTTTTGGAAAAACTCGGCTGAACACAGTCCACATCCATCGTATAGCCTTGATATCTTTATCGGATTATCATTTTTTCGCACCCAGAACCAGAATCTGCGGTAGAGGAAGTTGCACATCACAGCCAGCTCAAAAGTAACCTCACCGGCTACCTTGATCGCCAGGCTCATTCGTTCTGGGAGGGAGACATCCAATCTTTGCCCATCAAATTACTGCATTTCGTTTACCATTATAGTGATTACATTGCCAATTATTTGAGTTTTTTGAATAAATGCCTTAACTTGATAAAAGTGTCGAGTTGCGAAAGAAATTACGGAACAACCCAATAGATGTGAAAGATTTGCTTTGCTATTGAGCTAGCGTTCGACTAGCTGTGCAATCAATATAAAGTCTCAAAAATAAGTTTTGATGGTGAGTCCACTTAATAACAAGGCCCACTGAGGTATTGTTGGGTACGGATGCCACATTCTTCCACCTTCATTGACTCGCATTGAACCCAGTCTTGTCTCTCATACAGAAGCGCTCACAAAGATTTTAACAAGAGAACGGTCTGCGGCGATAAGATTTGCAATTCCCTGGTTCGATCACTTTTTCAGCAACCCTCGCAATCAAACAGCTGAGCGTTTAGAAACGCTCGAGCTTCACTACCAACAATACTGTAAGGAGATTCGTCTAAATCAGCATTATATAACTTTCTAAAAGAAGCTGTGTAAGGGATGAATGTGAGGAAACAATCGAATGCATAAAGTGGCTAAAGATCTTCCTCACCCAATAGTTAATCTGGCAGGGAGATGGCATTCTAGTGAGGGGATGGCTGGGGATATTAGAGGCAATGTTTGTCCACAAGCTGACATAATTTCCCCCATATTTGTGTACAGTGTTGTGCTATTGTGGTGAAGCTCATAGATAAGAGCATGCCGAAATTTGCAAGTACTATGATCTTCATATTCTTGGTCATGTACCACAGAGTATATTTTTGGGCCATGTTTGTTATCGAGCAGGGATTTTTCGCGGAAAACCTTTTGTAGGACAAAGATTTCCCATTGAGCTGCTAGCAACCATCCGAAAGTCTAAATCTCGGAAGACATCTAAAGTCAATTTTTTCAAATAAGGCTTTGAGACAGAGCTGTAGCATTCAAAATAAAATTACCTTTCACGGAAGCTGTGCACCTATCGTGTATTTTCGTGCTCATATCTTGCGCGACAAAATCCTTTTCCTAGCTTAATACTAATCATTCAATGGTAAACCTCAGGAATTGTGAAACTTCAATTGGTTGTGAAAAAGCTTCCTAGTGCCGTAACAGAGAAGGTAAATTTGTGTTTCACACATGCGTACTGACCACGACAAAGTTCTTTCCTTGAAAACTTAGTAAGCATTCGAGAGCGCAAGTTTTGGCGATCCCGATACTATGCATGCGTTTTGGAAAGATTGTTTTACTGCATTGTAGCAGCGAAAATAAGATTTAGGTAGATCTATTGCGACCGCGCAGCGTCATTGATCTACCTTGCGGCGCGATTCGCACGTAGCGCGCGACTTTCATCTTTGATCCTGGGAAATTTATCATCTTAGACAAGAAATCTAGATAAAACATATGACTTTCATGAATATGACAGATTTTTTTCAATTAAATCGCATTTTGGATTCTATGAGATTTAAGCTTTAGAATTATCATCAAAATTCTAGTGGAACGTTTTTGTCCAGGGAAAAAAGATATTCAAAAAATCCTTAGCCGATAACTGGAATAATTCTGTTTTTCTTTCACATTAGAGAATTTCTTCTTGGAGTACAACTATAATGAAATATAAAATACCATGTTTATTTAGCTCCATCAAATTAGTCATCGATGAGTTGATGGTTGTAAAATGAAAAGAGAAAAGAACAGGCGCTCTAAAACATTGGGGGGTACATCTTGAAAAGATTAAAACAACACCAAGGGAAATGAAAAAGCAAATCAACTCGTTTGTTAAATTCTTAAAACACATGCATTCATAGTTCATGATATGAGCAAAATTTCCTGTCATAAAACAAATTCACTCACGAACCCGATTAACTCGTGAATGACAGTGCGTAGTTACAACTGAGCAGAAGAAGAATTAGTAGAAAAATCATGGAATGAGAAAACCGTCTTTTTAGGATTGAAAGAGCATTGATCTACAAGCAGTGTTGACGTAGCCAACTTTCGGCTCTTCTACTTTTGTTGGTGAACGGCGAAGGCATACGGATCTGAAAAATAAGTATGAAAAAACGCAGGCAGATTTATAACCACACCATGAAGAACAAAAAATTACGCCGGACATTTGATTCATTGAGTGAAAGCAAGTTCAAAAAGGCTCTTCAGGAGATGCTACAAAAGTCGCAATGAAGTATTTTTTTAAAAATAGGCCATAAAATAGATAAATAACGGCTCAACATTGAAATAACTCGATGGATCCATGGTGGGTCAAGGTTAATACGAAGTCATACTTCATGACTGTCATATTTCTTAAGTGATTCAATACTTACCTAAAGGGCACCATA